AACATTTATCTTATGGAGGGCTTATTAAACCTACTGATGAATGGCTAGCAAAAATTATAGAATGGAATAAATATTTCGAAATATATCACGATGAATCGTATAAAAAAGGCCCCGGAGTTGTACAGAATTAGTCAGTGGAAACAGTTTTACCTTTTACTTTAATAAAAGATTTTTGTAAATTAAGAACTATAATAAGAATTAATTATAGAAATCTTAAACAAGAAAACTATAAAATATTGAAAAGAATGCCTTCTGAAAATGGTGATTGTCGAAAAAAAATTAAAAAGTTAAGTAAGATAATCACATATTAAAAAGTATAGCTCATTAATTTGTTAAATAAATATTAGACAAAAGACTTGTAAATTTATTGACGTACAGTACACTTATTAAATCCGAAAATTCTACAGTAGTTTACATTTAGTAGTAATTTAATAATTAAGAAATGATTTAATATTTTATCGTATTTTGTTATTTGAAAGGTCTGTCATGTTAAAGTAGAAGACTTGCTGTGACGTCACATAGATCCAAGGTCACGCTAACAAATATACGGGATCTGGCCATCCTTGTAGTTTAAAGTCCTTGTACTGGATCGCTTTCGTGGTCGAATGAGTGTTGCCAGCTAAAACACGTAAAAATAATTTTAAAGTAGCCAAGACATAGCCAAATATTGTAGCGCCACATCACTAGCGGACATTTGAAATTTGCCGACTAGGACGGTCGGTTAACAGGGGGTCGGATAATCGAGGCTTTACTGTATAGATTTTTAACATTTTTACAGCATAAAAATATCAGTTTAATGAAGATTTATAAAAAAAAATGATACACGTATTCTATTACTTTTAGATTATTTTATGTAAATTTCACTAATTGTATTGACATTAACACAAATTAGAGTTCAATTAGCAATTGCTGCTAGTGGTAAGCAATGGTAAAAATTGGACTTCTACATCGTCACGACATCTGGCGGATACTCGACTAAGCTTAACCACTTCGCCAACGTTCTCATCTTACACCACGACTTAAGATAGTAAAATTGTTGCCAACTGTTAAAATAATATTTGATTGAAAATTTATATTCGAAATAAAGCGAAAAATAAATTATGTTTTGTAAAAATGTATTAGGTATATCTTTATAAAATAAAATTACATTTAATTAATATATTCACAAAATTTTATTTGAAATAACTGGCAACATGTCAGTCGTCAGAAACGTGATTTTAGACGAAATTGTTGTGGTTACTTCTATGAATTCTTTATGTTTATGATGATTAAATGTCTACAGTGTTACATATATTTATACATGACATAAGAAATTAATACTGATTTAATTGATTTTTAACTTTAGACCGATACTTTCATAACTGAAAGAGAAATATAAAATGACAGCTAATTCAAATCGATTCTCAATTGTTAATGGAAGTGGAATCGGGGAACAAGATCAAGATGCTAATTCTGCTTTAACTGAATTAGATAAAGGTTTCTTAAACTTTATTTTAATTAAATACGTTTACAATGTATAGAATAATACATAAAATTTTAAATTTTTACTAGTAAAAGTAGGTTTGTCAGTTTCCAGTCATATTTTCTCATAGGTTTTACATATAATTATCTGTATATATCATAAATTTTTGTATTTTAAAATTTTATACCTTTCGAAATTAATGCAAATAATTGTTGCAATTTGCTACACTCCATTTAATTTTTGGTATAATAAGTTTTCAATTGTCAGTAAATTTGAAAGATAGAATACTACATAGAGCATGTATCAGTCTACTGCCTATTCTACATACTTTGCATGTAGATGTGTGCCTCGGTGGGCGTGAGTTCACACACACTCCTAAAACCATATAATGTCGAGTACACCACAGTCAAATGGGCTACTAGAAGTTGGCATAGTCACGTGGTCTAAATAATTAAATGCAACAGTCTTGGAAGTACTGCCATAGGGGCTACCTAGATGCACTTCTACTGAAATTATTTTCTACCAGCAGATAAGCCCAGCGTTGCTCGGGCAAAAAGTAACGATAGCGAAGATTAAGTTTATCACATAGCCAATCTTACCCATTTTCACAGAATGCAAGAATTAGGTCCCCCTGTTTCCAACTAATTAGAAAATTTGTAATGGATCTAAAAATATGTTTGATTTTCTGCAAAAATGCAAAAAACCGCATCTGCACCTGTAAATCTTGCACGTTGCTTTCTCTTAACACTTCCATTCTTAGCACTTTAACAACCTCACCCCTTGGGGGAAATTTCGAAAATCCCTTCTTAGTGTATACATTTTCTTGATGTACTCTATTAAAATGCAAAAAACTGCATCTAAAATAGTATAATAGAAGTCGAGTTCTTCACGGTAAGCCTTAATTTTGTCCCTCTCCCCCACGGGGGGAATTTCAACATTATATAATAGTTGCATTCTAATGCAACGTTGTGTCAAAATTTCAAAGCAATCGGTGAAGAACTTGCGGAGATCTAAGATTTTGAACAAACGAACATTTACATTTTTATTTATATAGATTATTTCTTTTTTTTATTTTACTTAGATCCTGAATATTGTAAAATATCAAAAACAAAACTTAAAGATTTAAAATCCAAAATCAAAATGTGAACTGATAATTTGTAAAATCAAAACTGTTCACACTTTTCCAGCAAATGGATTTAGTGAATGAACGTTATCGATTTATTTTATAAATCTAACTTGTGTTTTAAACTACAAAATTCCAAAATTAAACCCATTTGCTGGAAAAGTGAATGGTTTTGATTTTATAAATTTAAAGATCAACAATTTAATAGACATTAATTTATATAGATTATTATAATTTTGTGTCCGTTATTCATATGTATATGATAGTCGTTTTGTAAATTTGTCGTTAGTTGTTCATAATTATATGTTACTGTGAAAGACCAAAATTAGAGAATGTCGACACATACAAAATACGTTGGTGAAAGACTGAATATTTGGTTATATTATTATACATTCAAACAATCACCGGTGTATGTCGACAAGCACAGATAAGCTTTGGTGGAGGTCGAAACAACACCCAAGAAGCCGATGTCGAAGAGAGGTGACAGTCTGTTGCCAAATTCTTTGCTGTTTCCTTCTGCTCAAATTGGTGATACCATATGAATACAAGTCCCTGATGTCAACCATGGCTGTACAGATGCCCGAAATGTGTTGGTGGTTGTTGTTGGAATAGAAGACTCCAACTTTTATAAATTAGCAAACAAAAATGGTACCCTCAAGCAGCTTTATACTTGTAATCAGTTCGTAATTTGTAAAGAAAAATTACTTTCCATAGATGAGATTTCTTTTCAAGAAATATCGCTGAGAGAAGCAGCTGCAGCTAATTTGAAAAGTGGAGGGCAAGGCTATACATGCTGTTGTTGCAAAAAGAAGTGTTCCACGAATAAATGCAGTTGTAAAAACAAGGGACTTTTATGCAATTCAAAGTGCCATAACAGTTCAAGTTGTTACAATAAATAAGATTGTATAATGTTAATCACATAATTTATGTGTAACTTTATTATTGTATTATTATTATTTAGGATGTACTGTTCGTTTTAAGTTCAACAGTTTATTTACATGTGCCATTACTTAAGCTTTCTCCTATTTTGACATATTAAAAAGTTGCATTTTTGTCTTAAGGTAATAAAAGTATTTTTATTGAACATTCACCATCAATGCATGCTGAATGTCGACATTATCTGGCGTAAGTGAGAAATAATGATATTTAGCTAATATTTTGTACATACATGAAACGACTGTGTGAATGAATGCTGACATTCACTGGAGAATGTTGACATTTGCCAGATATCGGTCATTCACAGTAACATATACAATAAATATGAATGACTAATGACAATGGACGCGAAATTATAATAATTGATGCAAGTTAATATCTGTTAAATTGTTGATGTTTATAAATATGAATGACTAATGAGAAAAAATCCATTCTAAAAAGAAATTTGATTCAGAATATTAAATGAATAGCTTTTGAATATTATCAACAGATTATATTTATTGTTGAATTTTACTAATAAAGAAATCTTATGACAGATTCTTAGGTTATATGGAAGTATAAGTAATGATGATTGTTATTAAAAAGACAAAATGTTCACTTCAGTATTATGTAACTAGAATGACTTCACATGAATTCAAAGCTAAGATTCTGCACATAGATAGTGAATGTTGAAGATTAATAACTAAAAGTTAATTTATTTAGAAAATATTTATATAACCATTACAACTATAAATCATTTTATAGAGAAGGATGAAAGGTAGCTTTATGTAAATACCTAATGGCTTTGGAAATGAAAAAGACACTATTTATATTTTGAAGCACAAACATTTTTAGATTTTTTCACTTTCAAGTACACTCATTAAATCTTTATTAAAATAGAGAAAAAGAACAGTTTAAACTGAATGCTGTTATTAAACGATTAATAACAGCAGTTTTTTTGCAAAGGAAGAATTATTAAGCTGTTTAGTAGAATAAACTTGTAGCATGTGATTGCACATCAAATACTGTAATTGAAGGCAATTATATCCTTGTACATGAAGTGTTGCTAAAGATGGTAGAGAAACTCTGTGATCTGAAAAAAAAGTTTCTTACCATCAAAAAATTGATACACTATTTAGACCCTTGGCTACGGACTTCTAGTAAACTAGTAAAACTAGTTAGACTTTTTTAATTAATGTTATGTAATAATTAAATTTTATTTAAAACTATGGGAAAAACTAAAATAATATGCAAATTTGCAACTATTGTTACTTTAAGAACTTATCATTTTCATTAGACAGTTTAATAATTCTTCCATTGTATAAAATCAAATATTATTAAGCAACTTCTGAACTATTACTTTGCTGTTTTATGAAGACTTAAGCAGAATGCATTTGAAACTTAGAAAATCTAAAAACATTTACACTTCAGATAAACCCTTGACTTAGTTATCATAGCCATTATGTACTTAAATATTTAAGTATGGAATTGCTTTAAAATATATTACTTCTTACTAATAATTAAAGGAAGGTAGTTTCTATGCAACAACAAATATTGTAAATTATAAAAGAGTGAATAGAAATAATGGCTCTTAACCAAACAAATTACTATTCAATTGTGACTTAAAAACTTGAATATCCTTATTATAGAGTATCAGATTTTTAAAGTAATAAATAAGTANTAAAATTTTATATATGATAAATAATTTTTGATATTATAAACTCAAGAATACATCATTTATTTATTTTATAGGTTTACGTTCTGTTAAAGTTGGTGAGCAATGTGAAGCAATTGTCAGATTTCCTCGTCTTTTTGAAAGATATCCATTTCCTATTTTAATTAATTCAGCTTGTCTAAAACTTGGTGATGTTTTTCGTTTTGGGTATGTATGAGTACATGTTTAATTTTTTAATTCCATTTTTTGAAGGTAAGTAAATAAATTATTTGATGAAATGTAATTATTAGAGCATTTTTTATTTGAGGTATCCTTAGAAACTTGTCTTTGTTTTCAGTATAATTTCTATGTTTAGAACACTAAACATAGTAATGTAAAAAAAGTTAAGGATTACATTCTGCTTTAATACAGTAGACCCGCGGTAATCCGGCACCCCCTATAATCCAACATGCCTATATGCAGCTCGGTATGCAATGGGCTGAAGAAAATGGTGCATTGTACAATGAACTTTTACTTCTGAGGAGACTGAGAGACAAGGCCTTACTCTCGCATTTAGCCAATGTAAAACAAAAGAAAATGGATGAATATTTGCATGCACCATAAATTTATTTGTTTATCCATTTTCAAATTAGGATCATACATAGTATGTACCTTGGAAATACTTACATATGTTGTATGTAATTGATTGACATCAATATGTTTAGTTATTATTTTTTTGCAAGTGCTATAGCGTTAATGACATTAATTTTATAATAAACCCTATGCTATCTATTGTGTTGTTTAATTCACCAAGTCCCATATCATATATTATGTAGTACATACAGATTTGATCTTACCATTTTTATAAGTATGTAATTTGTCAGATTACAAGGTACTCCTTTTCAAAAAGTTCTGGACTACAAGGGGTAGGTGGCAGTACTCTATAGTCCAACAAATTCAATCATCCGACACCGCCTTGCAAAACATTTGTCGGATTACTGCGGGTCTACTGTATTAAAATCTGAAAACTACATTAATTTAGAAGCAATACTTAATCCTGCTAAATTTGACTTTATGACATCATCTTTACACTCTTCTCATTAGTCTGAGTTTATTGTAACCTAATATGTGGATCACTTACTCAGTCATGCCAATGGTTTTTGTGCAAGCAAATGCATTGTTATACAAACATTTCAAAGTACACATATGAAAAGACACAATGTACTCTACCAATAATTTCTGTTAGATGGGTTACTTGGAGAGTATTGTAGACATGGAAGGAAAAGCAAAAACAGAACTTGAATTACTGTAGTTGTTTCATTTATAGCATATACACCTTGTTATATAATGTTGATGCACAGTTGTCTGGTCAATACCTGTTTTTGTCACCAACTCCTGCAGAGATCATTGTCTTGTTGTCCTCTAAGTATTAAGCAATCACAGAATGAGCAATGTTGGTATAAACAGTCCTAAGGCATCTAGTAAGAAATATGTTGGAAATTGCTACTCTTCCATGTTTGAAAGCTGGTACCCACCTTGCAACAGGTTTTTATGGGAGAACATGCTCACTGACAGCTTCTATGAGCTGTGCATGACATTCCCTTGTGTTTTACCTGCAAATCACTGCAATTTTTACATATGAATGCTGTTTCAGTTGACTAGTTCTTGTTCTTGTTTTACAGTTAAGAAGGGCTATCCTTTTAGCTAGGACTTTGCCCTGTAAGAATATCAAAGAAGAGTTTAGGAAAGCTGAGGATTAGGAGGAATAGGAAATAAAGATAGATAGGACAGTGTGAAATAAGAAATAGCCCAGAGCCCCCCACATGACCCCATGGGTGCTGCCTCGCATTTATTAAAATCAGAAAACAGTTACATTTGAGCGTATGTACATATATACAAAGAGTTAATGTTTATACTCCATCGTTGGGAAAGCTGCTCGGTGGGTCAAGAGCCTTACTATCCTTAATAAATTTGATGATGGCTTTCATCAAATTTTTGTTGTTGATGAAATTGTGCTCACGGGAGGCCAATTGAAACCCTCCTTGAGACAAGTCCCCATCAGTTTCAATCTTTGCTTGCTGTATTTGGTACAATCGTAGATAAGATGTTCTACGGTGTCTTCAGAATTTATGTTGACATCACACTTGTTGGAGTTCTTCTTCCTGAAGCGTTCTAAGTAGGCACTGAACGCCCCATGTCCAGTGAGACATTGTGTGAGTTTGTAGCTTGGGTAGAAACTTTTGTTTTTGTGTCTTCTTTCAATTGAAGGAATAAATTTGTAGCACTGTCTTCCGGTGTTTGACTTGTCCCATTCCCCTTGCCATAGGATCCTGATTTCTTGTCTTACGTAGCGGTACACATTACTAACTGGGAAATGAGTGTATGTAATGTTTGAGTTCGTCCTTGCTTTTTTCGCCAATTTGTTGGCAAGTTTGTTTCCTCTATTCGCGTTTTTCATGAACTATAGAGGGCGCTGCATTTTTACAAAATGGCTACTTTATCTGGGTCGCTTGTAATTAGTAATGTAAAATTAATCATATATTACTGTCCGATACAATGATATATGCTGCCTATAGCTGTTTATCGAGAAATTTTATAGAAGGAGAACAATTATTGTTAGCGGGACACATCATTATGTGGTATCGAAACAAATGAGTGAAATCGTTCTATACATATTTGTGCCCTTTGTGTTAAAAAAACATCAGCTTTGACATTGTCCCATCAGGGCCGGATTTACAAGTAAAAAGCCTCGACTTTCAAGGGACCTCAAACATTTGTACAAAAAAGAAAATTGAAGTCAGATTTTGTAATAAGCATTTTTTTACAAACCAACAAAACATACTTCACTGTTTATTTTGTGTAGTATTTCATTAATTTTTTTCTAAGAATTACCATAAGATCTTTTTTAAAATAAATCACA